TCCTCCACGTTGCTTCAACAGACCTTGCCCGAGAAGGTGGACGTATTACTGACAGTGGTGTCATCATTGTTGGGCGCACGATACCGTTCCCATTCGTCAAGGAGGTATGGTTTTGCGTACCGAATCCTCGGGATACACACTCTTTCGCGCTGATTGAAAAGATCTACGATGAACGATTGGAGAAAGAGATGGTGCTGGATTTCAATGGATCTCCATTGCTCCCGGAATTCGAGAGGTACAGGACGCCGAGCAAGATCATGGAGCTGCTCTGCGAAATGCCCTCAGGTCCTCATGACACGAGTAAGGAGCAGATGATTCGCGACCTTACAACTGTGCTCGAAGCCCACAGGGAGAACACCGTTCGGCATCACTAGATGGACAAAGCCATCAAGTTCGTCATCAAGAACTGGCGACCCGAAGATCTACGAAGAGAGGAAGATGGCAGGAGAATGAGGGTGTGCCCAGCATGCTACAACATCGTGCCAGCATGCTTCTCCCGCTGTACTTCGTGCTGGTCACAGTTCATCTCGTGTGGTTATCATCAAGGCACCTCACAACGGGAGACTCCTACGGAGATCCCCAGTGAATTCATTGCCCAGACAATGGAGGCTGCAGCTGCAGCGGTACCTGAGACAACTGCTGAGGAACAAGAAGCCATGGAGGTCGAAACGGTGGCAGAACCCGAAGGCATTCCCGAAGCTTCCATCATCGGAGACGAAGATGCAGAGCAGGAGCCCGACGAGGAAATGGACACAGATCCAACGGCGGACTTTGACGACGATGTACCCGAGGCTGTGGCACTTGAACGTCGTCCTGTCCTCATCGCTGGTCAGTCCTTGAACATTGATCCTGAGCTGCAGATTGCCCGCACCGCTATGCAACCGCCTTACTACCACAACAAGCGAAATGCTCATTGCATCGATGCTAACATGGGTGCTCTTTCCTATATGGCGTTTGTGGTCTGCAGATGCATCTACAAGACGTGGTCTGGCTTGGCGAAGTGGGTGACTATGCCATTATTCCAGCTCAAAGAGAGTTTCGCCAATGGCCAACGCTATGACGTGCTTGGCAAGTGGGGTGTACTGGCAGAATTGGACTCCGAAACTGGTGTGAGCAGGGAGGTGACTGATGAAGAGATCCTTCGCTTTGCCAAGGAAAGGGACAATGCCAAGGCGTATGATCCCAACGGGACGTACACTCTCAAGCGCTTCCGAACGAACCAGCTGATCTCGATGTTAATCCGAGGAGCCAACATGATGGGAATTGGCAGGGAAGACTTCAACCCAAGCACCTACCTGAAGGACGAGACCGACGTGAAGGTCATGCACTTCTGTTGCTTGAATGTCTCATGCGAAGTTATTCCCATGGTGACAGGACACTCGCATTTTTCTGTTCTTCGACCTACACCAACTGGACCAGTGGACTTTCTGTACATCGACCCAGTCGGGATCCTCCTGATGCACATGGATCATTCCGTGCAGACCATCGGGTTGCTTGTGGATCACAACGTACAGATGCCGTCACATTTCTTGGACAAGCTGCGTGCCAGTAGGGTCGAAAGACAACTGCATCCAAATGCACGTCGTCCTGAAGCACTACATCACATTTCAGCCGACGAGTATCTTCCGCGCGGACAGACCTCCATCATGGACAATGTGTCACGGCAGAAGAAACTTCGAGTGCTTTTGCATTTACTGCTGCCCCGAAAGCTCGCCCACGAGGAGGTGGAAGACATGGAGGTTGGAATTCCAACACTTACCATGGCTACATCGAGGGCAAGAGCAGAAACAAGGTGAAAGCCAAGGGGAAGGGCAGATCTCCGTATCCAGAGGAAAATCTCAGGCCCTGGGAGCGTGATCCTCCATCTGATCCCGCGGCTACACGACAGTGGTATCGGGACAACTCGTGATCGGCTATGCCTTTATGCACGTGACCTCTGCGCTTCGCTCATGAACTTCATTGCGAATGCCTCTTTCTTCGGTGACGCCTGATTCGTTTGTCATTTCAGGGGATCGTCTCTGAAGTAGCTGAGTGTCACGCAGTTTCTGATTGGGATGCAAGGCTCTGATTCCACATTTCAAAGTTGCGGCGGACTAATCCCTAGTGTTCCTATCGCGCTTACTTCCGGGTGAGCAGCGTCGGAGACGCAACTCATGGGGGGTGCGAACGGATTGCGATGCCTAGTCAAGTTCTATGGTGTCACGATAAGAGCTGTGAGCATGGCCATGTATAGGTCAAGAGAGAAGGCACGCTACGCGTCCTTCGTCTCTAGGTGTAGGCTTGTGGAAGTGCTACGCACGCCGCAATGCCGAACCTTCCTGTATGCTTTCCGCCCACGCAACTTTGGCTCAAGTGAGCACATGCTCTAGAAAGCATTGCCCATAGCTAAATAACTATCGTCTTCTGTGACCTTCCGAGGGACAGAGCCATCCCGAGCACAGACGATCCATCGCTGGCCGCGAGGGTGCAAAACAAGCGAGCTCTGGATCTGCCTGCACGGAGAGTAAGGCTTACGCTTGGGAAAGGGAGAGAGAGAGTGGCTGAGTTCGTAGAGGGCACCCACGCCAGTATTCAACATAGCTCTGTGGGGTGAGCGCCAAGGGCATCATCAAGATCAAATCCCCACGCAGTAGTAGTAGTAGTAGTAGTAGCAGCAGCAGCAGGAGTAGTAGTAGTAGTAGTAGTAGTAGTAGTAGTAGTAGTAGTAGTAGTAGTAGTAGTAGTAGTAGTAGTAGTACGCGTAGTGCATATTTGACGCTGCGTTGTCGTGCACGTCGCCCGCATAAAACGCTGTGTTTTCCGATGTACGCAGGACATGGCTTTTCTCAGTCAGGGGGGCGTTGAATTTTGGATCAGGATAGTTGTCAGCAGTTGACTCAGCAGTGTCGGATCATGTGTGTTGTCAGCCCTCAGTTCCCCGCCCCCCCCAACCCCCACCCGACCCCCCCAAGCCAAGCCAAGCCAAGCCAAAAATACGTACTGAAAATTTATTCCAAGGCCCTCATAGGAAAAGCAAGGCCCTCATAGGAAAAGCAAGGCCCTCATAGGAAAAACAACCTGATACGAACACCAGGGCCCTCATACGAAATCCAAGGTCTCATCAAACCCAAAGCACAAAGACATCCCCGCTCTCAAGCTGAAACCCAAATCCCACAGATAGAATTCCTAAGTCAAGGTTTTCAGAATTCAACGCCCCCCAGAGAATTAGTGAAATGTGCTTAAAACTCGAGTTTTGGGCATGTGAAGTAAGAAAATGCATAGCGTCAATTATGCACTACGCACTCTTAGTAGTAGTAGTAGTAGTAGTAGTAGTAGTAGTAGTAGCAGTAGTAGTAGTAGTAGTAGTCCCTTTGTGGATGCACCCTCCACACGCGAGGAGGTCAAATACCAGGGCCCGGTCACTACGACCAAGATGGTGGAGTACAGTGTTAACCCCTCTCCGGAGCAAGAGGCCAGTGAGCTGCCCAAGCGAGATCAGATTGTCCACATATGTCAATCTGACCAGATGCTGGAGTGGGTTCATGCTTTCGCGACCATCTCAATTATGAAGGAGCAGGCCATAGTGGGCGGCCTCACTGCCTCCGAGCAGGTCTACCTGTGGACCAATCGGTTTAGGGCACTAGGCAAAGTGCCATGGATCTTTGCCCCAATCAAGAAGGTCGCCACTGACAAGGATGCCAACTGGCTTGACATCACGCAAGCGCGGCTAATGGTCGGGGCCAATGGCCAATTCACACTATCAATTGGTCAAGATGATCGCTACACCGAGCTCAAGTCCACCACGACCTACTATGGCATTGTGCATGTCCTCTTCCAGAAAATGTGGGACCACTCGGACATGAATGCATTGCTCGAAACGGACGACAACTTCGAGATTGTGGCCTCTACCTTCAAATGCATTTACGACCAGTCCTCCAGAAAGAGTGGAGGCCAAAATCGTGCCATCTTCTACCAGCCTCGAGACGGACAAATTGTCCGCAAGCTTCGTATCGAACATAACAAGGGCGACACAGCCACCTACCAATGGCACCGTCAGCGCGAACTGCGTGAGCAGCGCGAACAGCGCGACAAGCGCTCTGGAGAAGAGACACAGTCTCACACAGACAAGCGCCACAGAGACGGTGACGCCTGGAACCGCGGAGGTTGGTGGAATCGGGGATCGGACTCCGGAGCCAGTGGCAGCCGCTCCTGGCATCAGTGAGTTCCGCCTACGACCAACGGTGCCAATGGCAGACTACGCAATCCACCGCGGAGGCCATGCCTGCTTTTCCTCTTCGTCTCTTCCGGAACGGACTGATAGTCCTTTTGCCGGATGCCGCAGCTGTCAGTTGGAAAACAAGCCCTCGCCTGCCGCCGGTCGCGTTACTGCTGCCCTGCTCTCCGCAATGCAGAATCACTACCCATGTTCAGGTACATGCAACAATCTGAAGCTTGATGATGCTTGGCAGCCTGCAAACTCGCTTTGGCTGATTAGTGCCAGTTAGTTCAAAGCCTGTAGGCCGCCACATCCAAAGGTCTTTGACCTGGGCTGATCAGCTATAGGGTCTGAGTCAGTTTCACACCAAGTGAGTGCACCGCGGCAATCGCCCGCTATGTGCAGAGCCCGCTCGCACAGCGTTCAATTGAAAAATAGTAGTAGTAGTAGTAGTAGTAGTAGTAGTAGTAGTAGTAGTAGTAGTAGTAGTAGTAGTAGTAGTAGTAGCAGCAGTAGCAGGAAAGCTACATCGGAAATCGAGGCACATGCAACAAGCATAAACAGCGGCAACAATCTCGACACGAGCTGTCACAAGAATGGCAGGAACAAGCGCTAAGAGTCATCACAGAAGAACAACTCTGACAAAAACCACAACGCGAATCGTAATGAAACTCACCATCTTGTTATCGTCTCGTGTGCTGGAGCGAATACAAGTACCTATCTTAATGTTGATATGAATAATCGTGGCAAAGAGCCGTGTTTTGCTGGTTCCGATTCCCGAACTTGACTCGTGGAGCTTGGCCAGGCTGGAAACTCACCAGCTCGGGCCGCAAGGGGGGAAGTTGCTTCTTGTGGCTTCCAGGCCCTGCAGGTTGTTTCGAGAGTTGGAGGGTTGGTGTGATGCCCGGATCTTGCGGAAGTTTCCTGACCTCCTAGGCACATCCCGTCTGTTTCTTCATGGCTTGATGGGGCTTGGGATTCCGGCTTGTTCGGCCATGTGCGCCATTTGGGATCGTTCTGTGCTGAGAGCCTGCCCTATGATCTTGACAAACGTTGCAAACACGGCTTGCAAATCGTCCTTCAAAAGGCTTGACTACATTGTTTGCTGGAGTGGCCCAAACAAGGTCGAAAGCTTAGACTCTCCAGTCCTCAGGCACGACCTGCAGCCGTCTCAGGCAGAGCCGCACGGGTCGGTCAGCAGTCCACTTCCGCCTTCTCCAAGTCAACTCTCCCGGGGCTGCTTAAGGGGTTAGCGTGCATTGTTTGCGCCACCTCTCTCTTTTCCTCACTACCCTCCCCGTTGTCGCTCCCCGTCTCCATCCCGCCGGTTGTTTCAGCCAGGATTCATGGATGAGCGCGACGCGGAGATCTGCGTTCAATCGGAGGTTTCACCGAAGCGGCGGCCCGCTCCCGCTCGAGCAAAGCCTCAGCCCAGGGAGCCTCAGCTGCTGCCGGCGGCCATAGCACCCACCTTCTGCCTGAACAGCGACGTTCAGGAAGGAAGGGACTCGGACATCTTCAGGGAGACCGTGGCTAAGCCCGCCACAAGGCGGAAGCTGCCCGTTACCTTAAGAGGCCGTTTGAGAGCCTCCATCGAGCCCAGGCCCAGGACCACCAGCTCCGACGTCTTCGTTTCTGATGTCGGGCCAGTGGACCCTCCATCGGATCTGCCCCCCTTGTCTTTAGACGGCGGTGACCGCGGCAAGTCCTTCAAAGAAGAGGACGCTGCGGACGATCTGCGGGGCATCGTCAGTCTGGATGTCAACGTAGACACTCCTGCCTCTGTCACCTTAGAAATTCCATCCAAAGCAGAGAGTTCGCCCATCGACAAAGAGGAGGACATGTTGCGAGAGCTGCAGCAGCTGGCAGCTTCCGTGCAGCCGGCGACTGAATCAAGCTCGAATTCCGATATCGAAGGCACTGGCACTCCAGATGCGAGGCTCGTCATAACCCAAGATCCACATGGGCATGGCAGTTCCGTTCAGGCTCCGGCCCCTGCGAAGCCACACGTGCCGACGGACCCACAGGATTTGCTGCAAGCATCGTCCGGAAGACGGGAGAGCGAAGATCTGCTCGACATCCTCGAGCAGCTGTCTGATGACTCCTTGGAAGTCGCAGAGGATGATGCTGAGGAAGAAGAGGAGGAGGAGGGCGAAGAGGGGGAAGAGGGCGAAGAGGAAGAGGAGGAATCTGAGGCTGCATCTGCGACGAGATAGTTGGAGCAAAAAGCCTGCGTGCACAGGCCTTTGACGCACAGCTGTGTTGCAGAGCAGCTTCGGGGAGCGTGCGCATGGGCTGAGGATGTAGAGAATTCAATGTGCCTCGCAAGCTCGGAGCGACAGAACCACAGGCAGCATGCATGAGGGCCCAGCACACCAGAACCATGAGAAACGGATCTTAAGTACGTCGTCTTGTGTGACCTCGCTTGAATGGAGCCTGCGTGCTCATCGGTATCATGGCTCTTCGGCAGGAGGAAGGCCCGGCACTTGGCCCTGGAACTCCCGGATGCGACTCAATTCGAAGGCCTCTGACACCTGCAAACATTTTCCGTATGTGCCGTGTGCCATTCCCTATGCCCCACTCGGCCGACACCTTCGAAATTTCTGATACGGCCAGAGGCTGGCATGCCGTTTACGGGCGGACCTTCGGCGAGCGCTGGAGCGAGTTGGCCGCGGCGTTGGAGCGCGCCCGGATCCCCGGCTCTTGGGTTCACGTAGGGCCGCTATGGGTCCGGGGATGGGGGGTCTGCCCGAATCACCAGCTGCAAGAGTAGCAAAACGATCCCTACAGTGTGAGTAGGATTGCCCCGAGCGGATATGTCGCACACCAACCAGTCAGTGTTCGCAATGTCCTTAGCCTTCTGTGCCAGTCGAAAAACCCAAGCACCCCAAGTTGTGGATGCAACGGCCGCTGTTAGAAAGCACACCGAACCACATGGATTTCTGCTCCCTGCTCCTGCAGGATCATGAGCACCTGTGCTTCGTGAATCGTTTTCTTCCCGCTGCGGAGCTGGCTGTTCTGGAGCAGGACTATAGCCAGGAGCCCAGGGCCCTGCGCTACGGAGATGGCTCTTCTCGAATTCTCCGAGGCTTGCAGCCCACCTGTGTTCCGGGTGCCTTCGACTTTGCACTCCCAGAGGATCCCCGTCAGCGGCTCCAAGCTCAGCCTTGACCCTGTGGGCTGCCGCCGTCAGAAGCGAGCGCAGTGCTCAGGTTTCCTGTCGTCGATGCTAGCGATGAGCGGCACGTCTACGTTGAGCCGATTCGTGCAGAGCTCAGATGGTACAATTTTCATTTCGGCCTTGCGGCACCAGCTGCAGCTACGCGCCCAGCCCCAAAGGACTATCCGAATCAGCACCACCACCACCATCATCATCATCATCATCATCATCAGCATCAGCATCTGCGTCAGCATCATCATCATCATCATCATCATCTCCACATCCTCATCATCATCGTTGCAGTCAGCACCAGCATCATCATCGTCATCATCGTCATCGTCATCGTCGTCATCATCACCATCATCATCATCATCGTCATCGTCATCGTCATCGTCATCGTCATCCTCGTCATCATCATCATCATCGTCAGCGTCGGCGTCAGCATCAGCAGCCAGCAGCCAGCAGCCAGCAACCAGCAGCCAGCACCAGCATCAGCAGCAGCATCAGCATCAGCGTCAGCATCAGCGTCAGCATCAGCGACAGCGTCATCGTCATTGTCATCATCATCATCATCATCATCATCGTCATCGTCATCATCGCCATCATGGTCGACATCGTTATCGTCACCGTGATTGTCATCGTGACTACTGCTACCACCACCACTACCACCCATTACCAGCAGCACCACCACCACCCGCACCCAAGCACCTCAAGCACCCCATTTCCACCAACACCATCATTATCACTACCATCATCGCCATGATCATCGACGTCACCAACACCTAGCGGTAGTAATCACATGCCGTACTTGCAACAGTTATGCATGTCCCTAGGACGACTCCGAATCTCTATGATAACAATGTCCAAATTGGGTTCAGCCCAGAAGATTTCGCTTGGACGGTACTGTATGGTAACTTCGTGCTGTCGCAGCTGTAGTGCTTGCCGGCAAGGCCCTGATCGGCATGAAGTGCGGTCCTCGGCAGAGCCAGCCAAGAGTCCCGAGGTCTCATTCACAGAACACTCTTGGTTTGGGGCTTGTTCAGTCAGTTTGAAGCAGTGTCGAAAGCGGCCTGTACCAGCCTGGTGTCGGCAGGGATGAGGGTTACCGCTTGACAGCGACCAGGGATACAGGAGCTCTCTATCTACCATCATCCTCGTCCTCGCTGTAATGGTGGTCATCATCATTACCCAACCCCAGCCACCGTTTTCTTCTCTTGGTTGGAGCTTCCAGCGTTGGCTGCGCTTGGCCCATACTCAGGTCGAGGTGCTGGGGGCCTCGCCAGGTGAAGAGCTTTCACCTTTCCTCTTGGCTGAGGCAGCAGACTGCAAAGTAGGCGGCTGTCTTTGGTGCCATCAGTTTCGGGTCGTAGGAAGTTGAAATTTCTATGGCTGAGAACTGCTTGTAAGTTTGCCTGAATTGTCAGCATCTTGCATTCCTCCTGCTGAGCTGTTCGAACGAAGGGAGATGGAACGAGCGAGAGTGTGACGCAGTGTCAGCGGTTGTGATGGTGGTGGCTGTGCAGTCCTCGTCGTTTGCGGACGAGGCACAGTCGCGGCCGGCGTCGTCGTCATCGTCGTGGTGGATCATCAGCAACACGATGCCTCCATTCAAAAGCCTGCCCGCAGAAAAAGTCACCAATAGTAGTGTTCGGGGTGCATCCGTGATAGTAATTACACACCATGCGCCTCGAGTTTGTAAATTGTGTCATTCAGGTGGTCGGGCGGCAACTTTGACCGAACATTGATTGGACAGTCTGAAGCATCGAAGAAGAGAAGGAGAGTTACGCTTGCGCAGTTGACTGCTATGCTGCTAGGCCGTTCCCGGATTCGCCGCAAACCAGCCCTCTTTCCCCCTGTTCCTCCCGTTTCCTCTGTCACAAACCACGACTGCAACTAAAACTAAGAGCAACGCAACCAGCCAAACCCAGATGATGGATGCCGACCATGACGACAACCAACACCACTACGTCGACTAAAGCTTTCTCCCCTGTCCACTATTGCTCTGCTTCTTCTTCTCTTTTCCAGGGTGCCTCGCTCATTGTTGCGCAAGCCTTGCAAGTGGAGGAGCTGTGCCAGGGTAGCACAACACTTTCGGAAGTCTTGTCGGCTACGATGCTGGACAAAGATGCAAGTTCAGACTCCAGAATAGAGTCTGCTTCCTTCAAAGGAGGGCGACTACGTGCTGGATGCCTGTGCCACTGGCGCCACTTCGTTCGGGCCTCGGGGTATCGTCCAGTATCTTGCGATTGGAAAAGTCAGAAAAGCAGAGGTTCGCTCTAGCGGCTGCGCTTTTTGCCCCGCGCTGCCCACGTGGACACGCATTGCCGTGGGGCTCAGAAGTGCAGATCCGGTAACAAGGCGCTGTTAGTCGGGTTCATTCTGAGGCCACAGAACCTACAAGGTCGCCTGGTTTGCAACGAGGCCCCTGTTTGCATGCACGAGTTCAAGAGGCTTGGTAGAGTATCGAGCACGCTAACGGATACCAGTCCTGCTTGCTGACCCTGTTGATCAAATTTTGCACACCCTAAATCCTAAACCCTTAAGCTTGCAAAGCCCAGCTCAGATGGTCAAATCCCGGGCCATTCTCGTGCAGCAGATGCTGCCTGACTGTCTCGCTTCTGCTGCTGGTGTCAAGAAAGCGCAAAGAAGGAATACATCGTGTGACCTTCCCGGATCTCATTGCCTTGCTTACTATATCTTACTACATGACATTATTCTACATCATATAATGTTCTTATTTTACATTTCATTATATTAGGTTAGGTTAAACTACATCAGATGATGTAGGTTTATTTTCATGTTGTGTCATGCTACTCGTCGATGCCAGGCGGCTGCTGCTGCCTTGGCGGCTCTTCGATCCGAAGGCTTCTTCCTGATCACAGAATATCACATAATGGAATGTAACATCGTACAAACCAAAAACAATACAATAGAATATGTAATCGGATAGTTATATTATTTGCAAGGCAACATGTCATACAATACAAGACAACGTAATTCGGATATGACATATAAGCGAATGTAACATCATGTGGTGCTGTACTGTATGTTGCACTAGCATTATGCTACATCTCATGGTACTATATCAAATTATGCTATATACGTATGTGTGTGTGTGTGTTATGTGATGCAACAATATATGCTGTACTTTTTTTGCCAAAGCCCCGAGAGCCGAGAGCTAAGGCAGAGGCTTTTTCCAGAGGGTTTATCTCGTGCATCCCAAGTTCATGCGTGCAATGTTTTAATTTTCCCTGTATTTGTTGGCACAATGCAGGAGTGAGGATGTTCGCGACCCATCTGCATTCCAAGAAAACCCAGACCACACGCCGTTCAAGACCATGTGTGAGTTTCGTTGAAGATGTCGGAGGAGAGCTTGGCCGGACATGGTCCTCGGGTGGTGGGGCCCTACTGTCCGAAGCACTACTCCGTTGCCCATGCAGGAGACGTCTGTGCACGAGCTCAGGTGCTCACATCGGTCGACTTGGGCACGACGTCGAATGCTGCCGAGAAGTGCATGTCTCAGAAATACGGCTGCGAACAACCCTTGACGTGCTCTGGGCCTGCTGCAGGTTAGCCCCCTACAGTAAGATCCTTCTGGGCCCCCCGTGCTCGGAGCCTATGCAGAGGTCTTAGGCCGGGAGTGAAAGTGTTGCCAAAGTTTTGCACAGGCACGGACGACAAGGCGATGCTGCGCGGCTCCTGCCCTGGTGGTCTCGCGCGGTGGTCCTCCGCTTCCACCGCCAAGGCACAACAAATCGCTTCTTGCGTTTTGGGTGCCATCTTTGACTTGAAAGAGCAGGTGAGCGCGGAGACCCGCGCTGAGCATTCCTCTGCTGAACGTGCTTTCGCAGACGGCGGCAGCCACTAAGGCGACAGCTCAAGTGGTTGCACAACGCGCGCAGCCCCCAGCACGGCTTCTCCGTAGTCTGGGGAGATCTGTGGATGGCTTCCTCGCGCCACTCTCTGACGGTCCACCAAAATCCACCCCACGATGCAATGCTACGAAGTGGCTCCGGGCATCTCTGAGGCTCTGGTTGCTTTGCGAAGGAGGTGTGTTGCTGTACTTCAATCGTGCGCTGGGGCCTCGCTTGCAGAGGAGAGGAAGCCCCGAGTCTTCGAAGCCCCTTTCTGCAGGCTCGCTCCGGAGGAAGGCGACGGTGTCATCGAGCGGCTCTTCAAGCGCGTGGAGGGGACTTTCGACCTCCAGGCCGCCCCAAACCGTTCTGGTGTGCAGTTTATGCCATGTGTAACAGTGTAACATGACATGAGCAGAGAAAACACCCCGACAACGGAGGCTAACACGTCTGCTTGAATTTGACCTGCCTCTGCTTTGCCTCACCGATAAGCTCTCGAATGACCCTTCCTCCGCTACTTCCGAGTATTGACATATACTGAACGCAGCCAGTGCTTGGATGACTTCACCAGAGAATTGCAGCGTAAGCGATGAGCCCTGCATGCGACAGGTAGATCCACTTGACGAGGTGCTCAGCAGTGGGCGGCTAATTTTCTTGCTCTGACACTTCATTCGATTGCATTGGGACCCTTTGCATTCCCGTGTTATGGTTGGGATTTGATACGCTCCTGGATGTCAGATGCCTCGTATGCAAAGGCATGATACCCGGGCTTGCTGCGGAGTCCACGGATTGGGGCCCTGACCTTAGGTCTCAGGTGCTGACTGGGCCTGGCCGGCTTACTTTGTTTGACTCAGGCACCAGGATCATGCCGGACAAGACGCCCGGGCTCTTACTGTGAAAGGAAGATAAGAGCACTGCTTGTCGACCGAGATCTGTTGACAAGACCCCGCAAGTCGCACTGCCCGTACATCTTGCATCTTTCGACTTTCTCTGATCCTTACAATGGCAGCTGTAGGTAGGTTCTCCTTTTGCTCACATGGTGCGGTGCAGTCGAGGTCCTTCGGTCCTATGTTCTTCAGCCGAATCCGGTTGATCAGACGCACGCACCAGGCCCTGCAAATGCCTTGATGTGGGTGAGGGCTGTTGCACATGTGCAGCATGGTTTTCTTGCGCAGAGCTTGGCAGGGGCATGTTCGCTGACCGGACAACCGTCGCATCCAGTCTGCCCTCATGGACGAGATCGGATGCCGAAAGATGGCTAGTAGATTTTCAGACCATAGCTACGAGTCTCCTAACTTCTGGAGATTCCGTCGAACATAGCGGCAGCATGGCATAAGGTCATGAAACCATGCCCTGCCTCAGTGTAACTGGCTGAAGGCCGGAAAAAGGAGCTCTACTTCCGAGCTGGAAACCGATCCTGGACTTAACAACATCGTGGGCATGGTGGGCAATAATAACCATCAATAATGATAGTAATAATAACAACTGCTAGCCGCGGACACTTTCCGCTGCCTCACCGGCTTGAGTTTCAGTGCAGCTCCTGTGTCATGTAAGGGCAAGGGCAACCAGGAGAGTTTGCAATCACAGCATAGCACAAGCTCCATGCAACCGTGCTTGCACAGCTTTCAATGTACATGTTTAGCTTCAGAGCATACTGCTTGTCCAGCGATCGGATATTTTGAAAGTCCTTCGGAGCCTCCTGGCGGCGTGCAGGGCCCTCGGGTAACGGTTGACAGGCTTGGGGCTTCAAGTTGCGACGAAGTTTGAGGTGCAAATGGCCAGTTTGGTCGCCAGGCAGATTGCCAGGCCTCCGAAACTTGCTGACCTTTGAATCCTAAAGCCTTCGTCCTTTCGCGAGGTCATGGGGGCTTGGCTGCCGAGGGCTAGCAGCGGGAGCGGCTGGACCTGTGGGCGCGGGCCCACGTAGTCTGGGCTCTCTGGTTTGCGCTTGCGGTTTGCGGTTGGCATTGCTGAAGGTTTTATCGGCCTCGGAAACATGGGCCACCGGCTTAGAGACATATCGGGTGCACGGTCACTAGAAGTGTGACCTGAGGTGGGCCAATGGCGCGGAACCTCTTGAAAGCCGGACATGAGGCCTGTGGTGGGTCTGCTGAGTTAGACCTTCCGCGCTTTATGGCTGTGTCTTTTGATTCCTATGCCCTACATCCATTCACGAGTTCTGAAATGGCAGGTTGTTGGATTCGACGTTTCTGAAGGCAACCTCACGAGGTTTGCCGAAGCTGGTGGCCGCCTTGCGCAGAGCTTGCCTCAGGCTTTGCTTGGGCAGCTGGGGCAAGAAGTGCTGAGATTCAGAAGGGCTGCCAAGCCTTGATTGTTCTTTTCGTAGCATTCCGGCTTCATGGGGTTTTTCGTGACCAGTACGGATGGCTAGCTTAAGGTCCCCGCTTGCTGTGGCAGCAGCTGCGCAGACGGTGGTCACCATGCTTCCGGCTGGCGCACACGTGCGCGAGGCGAGCACCGGCCAGCGATGCCAAGAACACTGAGGGCCAACGCGCGTGGAGCCATCTTTCCTCGTGACAAGCTGAGGTTTATCTAGGGAAGGACGGGCTTCTGCTTGATGGCGGAGCCGCAGCCTTCAGTTGACCAGTGCAGGCTGCGAACGGCTAGCCTCGTAGTCTCAGGCGACCTCGGGGTCGCTTCTCATCGACTGCTCCACATGCGACGTGCACGTCACCAAGGAGGCAAAAGACCCGAAAAATCTGAGCCCTCAGACCTCTGCTTTGGGCCCAGAGCCTCTCTGCAGGTGGCGGCGGCCTCTGCGAGCAGAGGCCACCATTTGCCATCCCCTGACGAGCCCCAGCGGCGCCACTTGCCCTGCAAACGACCGCTTCGGCAGCATCTCCTTTGCGAGGTGCCATAGCCGTGGACGCGCCCGTGTCTGGCGGCACGCCCGGGGCAGAGCAGGCCGGGCGGCGGGCACAGCCCGGGAAGTTGGCGGTTGGAGTGAACGCTCTGGCGCAGGCCACGCTGACCTTCATGGTTGGAGGGTGCGGACCCAAGCAGCTGCTGAGTTCTGGGCATTTGGGATGTCAACTGCCCGAGGTCGGAGGATGCCTTCAAAGCTGCCAGCCTCATTCTGAACCACATGGGAAAGAAGGTCCTCGGGAAGTAATCGGAAGGTGTGCCGCCGTGACTATTGCCTCCTGACACTTCCAAGGTCGTGCACTGTGGTGATGCAGGAATGGGCCAGGCAGAGTTTCTTACATCAGAGCCCTGCCAGAGATGTGAGCTCCGCCTCTCTGCAGGCAGCCAAGCTTTGCAACAACTTGGTTCTGGGCATTACCATGGCCGCGGTTTGTGAGGCTCTCGTTCTCCCACTTCGCCCGCATGCATAAACCGGGGCTGTCAGGGCCATGCTCTTGCTGAAAGCCTTGGCTTGGATCAGAGGACTGAGGTCGACAAACATCGGACTGTAGCTCCCACGGGCTCCCCTTTCCCCGTCGAAATGTGCGGCACAACTCCTTTCCCGCGTTTCGAACGCAGGAAGCTAGCGGACATCCTCAACACCAGCTCTGGCAGGCACACTCGCGAATAATCTTCAAAAAGAAATAATGGTAATGCTTGTAGTAGTAGTAGTAGTAGTAGTAGTAGTAGTAGTAGTAGTAGTAGTAGTAGTAGTAGTAGTAGTAGTAGTAGTAGTAGTAGTAGTAGTAGTAGTAGTAGTAGTAGTAAAAGACCAGGGTTAAGAGGGTGAGAAGAGCGAAGAAGAGCGGAGCTCTCTTGGCCTTGGCGTGCATGGCGTGCAGCAGGTGCTGGAGCAGCGACACCTACAATCCTTGCCCCGGTGTCATGGACGGGGTGGACGCTGCTGGGTTTTGTGGCTTAGGGGGGTGTTTGGGCCTGTGCCGGGATAACACGGTAGCATTGGCAGTAGCAGCCACAGCATTACCACAAGAGGTGGTCGTGGTGGCAGCCAGCTGCAGTAGATTATGTTAGAGCTGTCGACATAGTTCGCGGCCGTCGTTCAAAGGTGGTGGTGTTGCAGAGGTCACGAAATCAAGTTGCTATACACTGCCATGTAAATCATCTGATGCTGCCAGGTTCCTTCATCCAGAGGCTACACTGGGGGATTTGCCTGTGATCTGATGCTGAAGGCGAGCCGGCCTGGTGCAACTTCTTACTCCGGCTTCGGATGTTCATAACTTGCAGGACCTGAATCTGGCCACCTCGGCCGCCTTCGTGTCCAAGCCCAAGCTCGGCCTTCCCCTTGGAGGCCGAGCTCGACAGCCTGCGACGGCTTTGCCGAGCTTGGGCGCAGATCCGTCAGGTTTGGCATTGCAGCTCTACTCCCAAATGAGCGCTCGGGGAGACGGTGGCAAGGCGATGCTCCTGGGCTCGGGGTGTTTCCGCGCATCTTGCCTCTTGCATTGAGTCTTGTCGTGGTGACTCCATCAAACTGCAGCCTGGATTCCGAGGCCCAAGAAAGGAAACCTCGGTTGCCCCCAGAGTCCCAGTTTCGAGGGCCATCATGGCGAATCTGGTCGGGGAAGCCGTGAACGTGGACGCTAATCAAAGTGCGCCTGTGGTCGGTGTTCCGGTGCAGGCCAAGGTGGTGGACAGTGGCAAGCCGAAAGCAGAGGTCCCGCCGTGCTGCTGTGGCCCAGATCCATGCTGTTGGGAGAACTGCCTGATCGGGACATGCTTTGGCTGCTGTGGCCCTTGCGTCCCGTGTTGGAGTTTCTTCCTCCTCGGCTGGCTCTTCACCGTGCTCTTCGTCCGCGAGATTGGAGTACAGGGCACTGACATCTTCTCATTCGAAGATCCTGCTGTAGAAACCGATCTCCGAGTGCAGCAGTGGTTCGGCTACCAAGCAGCGCTGAGCGAGAGGCCAGGCTGTGGCGACCAGGCGCACGAGGACGAGGACGTCTGCAAGGCTGATGAGCTTTGCGAGTGGGTCACGCGTGGCCCCCGTGGATCTTGCCAGGAACTCGAGTGCCCATCCGCTCCGCCCAAGGCACGGCAAAGCCCCCTGTACCTGGACTTTTTGCCGGCGTTCATCAGCGTGATCTACGAGGCCGTGGGGGAAAATGGAAACATCTTGGATGATGACGTCATGCAAATCATCAAAAACTACGAGACGGAGCTTTTCACAGACGTTGACGGTGCTGAGTACACCTACAACGGTGCGAAGCGACCTTCCCCGTGGAACGAGGACTGGTGTTTGATGTCATATCCCAGCCATGGCTTTGGCACCCCAAAATGTGCGTCTGGCGTTGGCCTGACACACATGTTCTCCATGGACACTGACGGTCTCAACAAAGTTATGCAGCAGGGCCTCGACGGCATGAACTTCCTGGGACTTGGGGGAATGATGGCATGCATTTGTCAAATGGAGGACACTTGCCAGGTTTGCAACAGTGACGGTACCATGAAAGGTGCTGGCACTTCCGATCCGAAGACCAGTTGGCCGGCATCGATCCAGACATGCATCGCCAACTGGAAGAGCAATCTTGTGGCCATGTCCCAAGCGCAAGCCAACGAGCCGACCACGACCACCACCACCCTGGATCCCACTTCTGCCCTCGGCCAGCTCTGCGCAGCTGCTCCGGCCCGCAATCCTCTGCCCACGACAAGCGGCCCTGTCAATATGATGGTGTTGGACATGATCGAGCAGCAAGTGATGATGCAGACCGTGGCAGCAGGGTGTGCGACCAACATGACTTGTGGCTGGTCTCCTCCAGGAACGCATCAGATTTGCAGTTCCTCTGCGTACTTCCCAGCGACAGATGCCACAGGCTTGCTCACGGGGGCTGCCAAGGAGGCGATCCTGGACAAGATGTGCGACCCATCGCTGCCGCTGTGGTGGAACAGCAAGAACAGCTTCATGCCCATTTCCTTCGACTGCGAGGCGCGGAAGAGCAAGTATTCCCTCTCGCGCTTCTTCGCCGGAGCCAACGAGCCAGACGATGAGAAAGAAGGCGAGCGCTTTCAGCTGGGATACGTGGAAGGCCGCACAGGCTGGTATGCGAAGGCAGCCCTGATTGAGGCAAGGTACGAGCGGGAGCATGGCAGCAAGCTCCGGATCATGCTCTTCTCTGGCGCGACGCTGATCGCCCAGTACCTGGGGATTCTCTTGGTCGACGGCTTCCTTTCGCTCGGCTCGCTGGTGTCTGTCTGGGCATACATGTGGCTGATGCTGGAAAGCAGGATGCCTAGTTTTTATCACCGCAAGCTTCCTGTCCCAAGCTGCCCCCGTGCGTCGCCGTCTAAGGTGTCTTCCTCGCTTCGTGTGGCATGTTCGAGACGCTCGTGTTGCATTGTTGTCTACTGAGATTTTGTGAGTTTGTGTAAGGGATTGCAGTGCCTGGCATGCGACTCCTCAGGCACGGTCCACTTCGGTGTTGGTTTGAAGAATCGTGTTGACCTGTGCATCGATCTGCTCTGAGGATCATCTTTTCCCTTCCCGTTGGAATGTGCCTGTGGGTGCTGGTCCTGGGGCAGAAGATTTTCTGGTATCAGATGCTCGTAATCTACATGATTCTTGGTATCGGCGCCGATGATGTCTTCATCTTCTACGATGCTTGGTTGCAGTCTGCACATGCCGACGGCGTGAGCCACAGCAAGGCCACTCGTTTCTGCTGGGCCTATCGCAGATCAGTGGGTGCGATGCTTGTGACCACTCTGACCACTTGTGGCTCTTTCTTCATCGGTGCCACCTCACCGTTGCCCTTGGTTCAGAGCTTCTGCATCTTCGCTGCGGTCGTCGTGCTGGTGGACTACCTCTTCTGTATCAGCTTCTTTGCCTCGGCCGTGTTGGTTTACGAGGAATGGATCAAGGGCTTCGGCTACTGCTTCCGCTGCTGCGGCATCGAGCTCCGTGAGGCGGGCACCTGCTTGGGCCCCGGCTGCTGCTTCGGAGGCCTCCGGGCCTGCTTGACCTGCTGTGGGAGAAGCTGGAAAGTGCTCCCGAAGCCTCCCAAGCCGGAAGATCCCCCTGAGCCGCGGGCCATGGAGAAGTTCTTCTCTGGATTTGTCTTCAGACAATACCAGAATCACAAGATCAAGCTCATCCTTTTCTGGGTCGCCGTGGTCATCGGCATGGCCACAAGTGCCGGACTTCAGCTTCGCACTGCCAAGAAGAGGGCACCCATCGGCCGTGAGAACATCGACGTGATCAAGGGCTCTGACATCCTTTTCTCGGAGTTCGAATTCTCGACGCGCCCCGTCACCGCCTCGATTGTCTTCGGCCTGGAGGACGACACCCCCGTGACCTGGGCCCGCGAAAGGGAGGACTCCACGTTGAACGCGCCGAAGTTCGGTGGGACCTCAGCCGTTGATTTGGCGCAGCCTCAAAAACAGCTGGAGCTCCTGGCGCTCTGCACCGCCGTGGACCGGGGACAGGACGATGCGAACACGCGCTGTGGCACACGTGCGTGCCTGGCGAAAGGCTCACCTTTGCCTGGAAGTTGTGCGCATGACGTGGACGCTTGGCAGACCTCTGGCCTCTTTATCCGGGCTGACGAGAGCTGTGTGACCTCTCGCTATTGCTTTATGGAAGACCTCCGCTACTTCTGGGCATCCAAGCAGGGCAACTGCCAGGGCAAGGGCGAATCCGCGTGCATTGCCGCCGCAGGCTGCGCCTACGCAAACAGCACTCAGATGGGTAGCTGTTACTCTACGACCGACCCACTCTCTTATCCGGGATTGTCGGAGAGTGACTTCATCTCGCTTCTGTCAACCGCTTCTGTGAGCGATCCTGCGACGACGGAATGGGAGGAATACATGGAGATGAAGTCGAACTACCTCAAGGGCATCAATCGTCGGTATGAATCAGATTTCATGACCCAGTACACCGGCATCCGGCTCAACAACGACAAGACCGCCATTCAGTTTGCATGGATTAGCTACAATGCCACATTCCCACGCGAGAACACCGTGGATGAGGCGAACGAGTGGTACAACCGATGGCAGACCTTCAAGGAGACCTGGGCGCCGGGTCTCGGAGGTTTCCAGACGGCGGAGCTGTACCTGTTCCTTGTGACCCAGAACGAGATGGTCAAGGCAGCCTAAAGTCCTAAAGTCTTTGATACTGTATCACCAAAACGATTTTTACTACGACTGTTATTACTATCCTTCAGATTATTATTGTTATTATTATTCTTATTACTATTACTATGTTTATTGTTTTTTGTAAATATACTTCTTATCATGATTATCATTACTATTATTATTAGATGGTCAAGGCAGCCACCATGGGCATCGGCCTGTCCCTTCTGGTTTGCTGGATCGTTCTGTTGGCGACCACATGGAACTGGTGGACGTCTACCTTGGGCCTGGTTTGCATCGTTTGTATCACGGCAACCTTCTTGGGTATCGTGCCCCTCCTCGGATGGAGCTTGGGTGAGAACGAGTGCATCTTCATGATCGCCACGGTGGGCTTGTCTGTGGACTACACGGTACACTTGCTCCACGCCTACAACAACACGCCAGCAAGGACGCGGACGGATCGGGCCCATGCTGCCTTGGAAGAGATGGGCATTTCCGTTGCCAACTCTGCCATTACCACCCTCTTTGCAGCAGCCATGCTCTTCGCATGCGGCTTCTACTTCTTCTTCCAGTTCGGCGGCTTTATCTTCATGGTGATCGGACTCTCCATCCTCATGTCCACGAACTTCCTCATGCCCCTGCTGATGTTGATCGGCCCGGAAAATGATCAAGGCAACCTCTGCTGCTACAGCTTGCCAGCGTTCAGGAAAGCCAGCGCCCCGAGAATCCCCAAAAGCAGCGAGTGAGTCGCTAAGACATGCGGCTAGCGGTCGGGGGCTCGAGTTGTTACTCTGTTTCGGTTTCGCGCAGGTGAGTGCATCGTCTTCCAGAGAGCGAAGCTGCTATGGAAGACGGAGGCATCCGATCCTGCTAGAGCTTAGACCCAAGACCCGTAGAGCGTTGTCGTTGGATCATTGAAGCAGCCCCAGCCCACTACGCCGGCTGTGCCCGGAGACAGTCGACGACGCTCCGGCCAGCTTTTGTTCAGGTTTAGCTTTGTGCAAAGATAATTTTTCGGGAGCCTCCGCGCGCCGGAGGCGCTTGCGGACGCTCTCACGAGGAGTTTTCATGGCTCAGCTGCAGCTTCGGAACGCTTGAATCCGCTTGGATGCAAGAGTGAGTAGGCCATGTGCTGGGTTTCGAGCTGCAGCAGGGCTTCCCTTTCCAGTGGCAAACATGCCACTGTTAGAATGGACGGGAAGGTCAGGGTGCAACGAAGGCAGACCTGATCGAGCCCATTGGTGAGGAAATGCGCTCATTGCTTTCCAGCGCACAGCAGAGCTTCTTCCTCTAGAGTTGAACACGCATTTGTGAACTTCTGGCAAAGGCCTCACCAACTCCATTCCTTTGTTGTTGGTCGCTGGATGTATATCAGACAAGCTACTGTATCCCAAACATTCAAGTTACTAGTGCCAAAGCTCTAAGTGCTAAGGCATAGGGAATGCACCAATCGTTTCCTTTTCACTACCACGCATCTGCGACATCACCCTGACGACGCTTCTTCGATGCCTTTCGGCACCGACACCTTGCAACACGAAGAGCTAGTCGCAGTAGGTGTCGGTTTGATGCCCTGTGACGGCTGACACTAGCCCTTCCAGCTCTTTGGCCCGTAACCCGTTCAGACCAGAGTTTGCGCCGTTTCAGACCATAGAGGCAAATATCTCTGACTGAGCTGGGCGATAGGGTCAAGACTCGAAACCGACTGGGGATCCTTCCGATCAAACTGTCGGGGTTCCTCGTCGGCATGCGACCGAAAAAAGACCGGATGCTCATGCCGGAGTGGAGACCGCGCTTCGTCTTGCTGCAACTTGTTTTTGGCGCAGAGCTTTCGAGCAGGACTTCTCCGGTCTTTATACCCACATTGTGAGCGGCAAGAAGGGCTAAGAGGACGCTGTGGTTGCTGTGGTCCCTTGGGCCCCACTTTCGTTCAAAGTTCTGCCATTTGCCGTGCAGGACTGCCGACAGCTTTGGCTTGTGTGCTGGGTCATTTGGACCGCCGCAGACAACAGCGAAGAGGGCTGAGGGCTGCATTTGTTTCAAAAATCTCTTTTGTACATAACAGCCGCATCACACAGTATCCTGCCACAAACTTTTGGACGGGCGGGCTGAGATGCCACATCGATGTTTTCTGCGGATGTATAGCTGGCTGCAGACTGCGATGAAGTGATGTCCTGATGCCGTGAAGTCGGTTTCTGCCAGAGTGCCTTTCAATGGCTGTCAGGTTGAAAGCAGTGGTAATTCGTGTCCCAGCTGCACGGTCTGTACCTGTGAAACGGCCCTGAGGATTATGCATGAAAACGGGGCTCAGAGCATGAGAATCCTTGAACACCCCTGAATGCATCTCAAGCAGGGTAGCGCTGGTTTTTGGCATCAGAACCATGAGCTACCTAGGACCTAGGAATTCATTCCAAGTCTCGGCACCTGCTCTCATGGCCATCGCCTCTTCTCGCCGATGGAATGTCTACCATGGACTCGGACCGAACAGCAGAAGAGCTGCGTAGTTCTTGATCATGAGAATCTCAGCCCCAGTGTTGGTCTGATTGCTGTATCTCCAGCGAAGGCGAGCCGTACTACAATCGCTTCAGGACTCCTTGCCGCAGCATCCACTCCTCTCGTGCTGTGGGTTGCTTCCTCAGGAATTTGCAGACGGCATCTTTTGCTAGGCAATTTTGGATCGGCTCAGGTGTTGGTCAAGAGGAGGCGAAAGGCCGGCTTGGCATTCCGAACTGCTCTGATTCCGATCTTGAGATCCCAAGTGGAGGCAACAGAGGGCGAAGGTGGCTGGCAGGTGGTGGGCAGCAGGCTCTGCCAGGGTTTCAGGGTATTGGGGGTTGAACATGCAAGGCACTTTGTATTTCCTGACCTTGGGATTTGTGCTTACATAGTTCCGTCAAGCTGTACAGTTCCGTCGCAGCATGCCTGCATATGGAAGGCATGTGTGTGAGAAGTGGATGCAGTACAGATTGGCTTTCAGTTCAGTCACGCCATGTTCAACCCTTGCTTCTGCTTCTGCGAATCTGGCTCCCAGCTGTCCAAGCCTGCCGAGCATGGCCCGCAAGCGGGCTGAGGCAAAATTGAACGCAGCTCGGGAGGCGTGCACAGTTTTGGTCCCTGGTGTTGCAGCTGTGACCTGCGTATGCACTTGGGCCGGCCCCGGGACAACTCGTCTTTTCCTGTGTGAACTTGGGCTTTCGGGAGGTGGAGTTCTTGCCCGAGCTGCGCCCCGTGGTCCTCGCCTGGGAAAGCCACCCTGCCCCCGAGCGGCCGAATGCCGCTTTGATCCATCTTGCAGTTGTGTTTTTGTGCTGGCAAGCGTTAAGTGTTCCACGCCCTTGCGTCGGCAGAGACAGACCAAAGCAGAAAGCAGTAGTGGCATACTCCGAGGTGTGGCACGGACCCCCTCCGCATCACCCACAGGCACGCTGCTTGCATGAGCTAAGGGACATCCGTCTTTGGGACTGTAGACTCGGAGACAAGAAAGCCAGAAAGCCTGTTTTGGTTCTTGCGCTTACAAATTTGTCTGTGTGTCACAGCTTGCACACACGTGCACGCACACACGCAAGCACGCACGCGCGCCATTGCGCACTTCCATCCTAGAGCTCTGTCAGGTAGAAGTGATTCACGTTTCTGCAAACGATCCTCCCTACCATCCTTCCGTGCCTTGGCAATCGTAGAGGACTTCAGGACTTCATGTGGCCCTTCTGTTCTTGAGCTTGCACTGAGGCTTCCTATGACAGGGACACCAAGAGCTCTGCCAAATATGCGACCTGACCCGATTTACAGCAGCATCTGAAAACGTCGATATTGGCCATCTCAGGATCCTCATCCAGGGCGTGGGCGGAGTGGGCATGCTACCGGCTCCGAGTCGAGGGGGTCAGCATCCCGCAACAATTGGGACAACGAGGCAGGCTGGTAGCGCGAGCATGCCCTCAGCTTCGGTTTTCTCCTTGGTCCGTGCCCTTGCGGTCCAGTGAGCATGTGATACGAAGGCTGAACGATGCAGCACCCCGCGAAATGATGCTAGACATCAGCCGGCGGCTTTTCCGCAGGCAGGCGCTGCTCGGCCGCTGTTTGCTCTGGTCTTTGTACCCGGCACACTTTCGTCGTGGTCGTTCTCTGTCACATCATGCCGGCCTTGTGTGCAATGCCAGACAGCTGAGGCCAGTGCAGCGTGCTCAGCCGAATCGTCGTCGCGCCCGCCTGCAGCTTGCTTGCGCGTGGCAGTCTCTGTTTGCGAGTCTGCTGGGACAAGCAGGGCCTGAGTGCACCTGCATGCTGTTCGCATCTTGCGATCCAAGGCAGAAAGATCGAGTGCCCCTGGAGCTTGTTCTTCGCGCGGAGCAAGTGCCGCTCTCCAGAGATTCTATGACAGTTTGAGCTGTCTCACATGCCCCTGCACAGGACCACCCCAACATCCCGTATGCTCTGGTGGCAAGTTTGGTTCGGTATGCCCCAAGGATGCTAACAGCCCCAAGATCCCTCTGTTTGTGTTGCAGAGTTCAAAGCCACACCTCCGAAAGACAGAGCAGCTGCATGGAGGACAGCTAAAATTCAAAATCAAAGGTAATGATCATATGAAACCGGCCACAGCGATCACGTGAACGTTGGTGCATAGCATGAAGAGTTGCGAGCTTCGCAGTCGCCTCTCGTCTTTTGTGAGGTGAGTTCTCCGCCGTCCAAAGTGAGCAGGCACCGTCTGTGTCAGAAAACATCGAGTCAGACCAAGCCATTGCTGATGGATTTGACAGATTTGCGTGTTTTGATGTGTTGCTTCGTCTCACTTTCAGAAAAGAAGTGGTAGTGTTGTGTTCTTGCATGATTTTTTCATAGGTGTTTTTACACGGTTGTCCATGGTTTGGGCTGCATAGTGCTATCCACAAGACTCCATTTGCCCCAAGCAGGCTGGAGGAAGCCAAGCAATTGGCGGATCGCTTGATTCGCATCGATCGTGGACGCCTTCAGCCAGCATCCATTCTGCTTAGAGATTGGGGCCTTGTGGTTGGGGAGGCTGCTGCCTTCTCGCATTGACTACTACCTGTCACGCACTGTGAATTTGAAATATGGGCTTGAAAACTCGTACGTAAGCTTGTGTGCTGTCTTTCGCGAGCATACTCTCGAGCTGACTTCCATGTTTCTCTGCATCGTTGTGGGTGTTGTTGTTGGGCAGCGAGGCGGCAGAGCTGTGACTTGTGCAAAGATTTGCCTCGTAACTTGTGCAAAGAGTTGCCTCGTGACTTGTACGCGCGGAGGTGCGTTTTGTATCGGCAGGGCCAGTGAATTCGCACTTTGTTACTTGTGATTTGCATAAGTGGCGTCCGAGGAGTGCCGCAAATTAGGGGGGCCCAAATTCTAAATTACAATATGAGCATCCCCCCCCTCTAAGGGGGTGGGGGTTGGAGACAAGACAAGCTGGTTGCCGACTTTGGAAGAAAAAATGCTGGTCTCACATCTTTGTTTGGAAGGAAAGAGAGGTTTCCAGGTTGGTTGCTGTGTTTCTGACTTTGTTTGGCTAGATTGTTTCAAAGATGTGGGCACTGAGAAGTGTGAACAAACATGCCCTCTCTGCCGTGGCGCTGCAAACACCAGACTTTCCCAGTCAAAACCAGTCCAGTCCCAGTAGGATGGCTGTTTGTTACTGAGTTTGTTTCTGTCTGGCAGGAGACTCTGCTGCAACAGGCGCGGACTGTGGATTTCTGTCTGTAGGCTGAACTCAATTGACTTGTTTATGGCATGTTTGAATTATCTTGCTGAGGCGGTACGCTGATATGTTGTGGCATGTTTGTTTGCAAGTTGCGCGGCTCTTTGAATTTATGACAACAGCTCGGTGAACCCAACTCCACTGATGTGTGATGCCAGGTGTAGGGTTTAGGGTTTAGGGTTTGGGGTTTAGGGTTAGGGTTTAGTGATTAGTTAAGTCGTTGCCTTTGTCCTGGAACGTAAGCCCCAAAACTTAAACTCTTAATCCTGAATCCGCGAAACCCTCAACCCTAATCCCTTAACCCGACTCCCTTTCTTGCGTGCTTGGCTCAGGATGACGGAACAATCACGATATGTGCCAATAAGCGCCACCTGAAGGAGACTGAGAAACTTGCTAGCAGGTTCAGGGTTTAGGGTTGAGGGCTTTGGTCGGATAGACGCACAACGTCCTCATGAACGCGTCTTTTCAGCAATGTTCTTTTGGAGACACTTGGAGACACGACAAGCTGGTTGCCGACGTTGGAAGAAAAAATGCTGGTCTCACATCTTTGTTTGGAAGGAAAGAGAGGTTTCCAGGTTGGTTGCTGTGTTTCTGACTTTGTTTGGCTAGATTGTTCAAAGATGTGGGCACTTAATAGTGTGAACAAACATGCCCTCTCTGCCGTGGCGCTGCAAAAACCAGACCTTCCCAGTCAAAACCAGTCCAGTCCCAGTAGGATGGCTGTTTGTTACTGAGTTTGTTTCTGTCTGGCAGGAGACTCTGCTGCAACAGGCGCGGACTGTGGATTTTTGTCTGTAGGCTGAACTAGTTCAGGTGGTCAACTGACTTGTTTATGGCATGTTTGAATTATCTTGCTGAGGCGGTACGCTGATATGTTGTGGCATGTTTGTTTGCAAGTTGCGCGGCTCTTTGAATTTATGACAACAGCTCGGTGAACCCAACTCCACTGATGTGTGTTGCCAGGTGTAGGGTTTAGGGTTTAGGGTTTGGGGTTTAGGGTTAGGGTTTAGTGATTAGTTAAGTCGTTGCCTTTGTCCTGGAACGTAAGCCCCAAAACTTAAACTCTTAATCCTGAATCCGCGAAACCCTCAACCCTAATCCCTTAACCCGACTCCCTTTCTTGCGTGCTTGGCTCAGGATGACGGAACAATCACGATATGTGCCAATAAGCGCCACCTGAAGGAGACTGAGAAACTTGCTAGCAGGTTCAGGGTTTAGGGTTGAGGGCTTTGGTCAAAAAAATGGTCTAGTGTTTAAGGTTGTAGCGTACATCCAAAGAGATTGTAGATATTTATTGCTTGCAGGGATTGTCCTTAACTGCTGAGCGAGCCATCCGGGCGAAAGCAGCGGTTGCGTCGCCTTCCTTGGCTCCGAGCGTCTTTCGCTGCAAACGATCCAAAACGCGCTTTTGGAGGCTGCAAAAGTACAGTCCCTCCAGAGTTGGTGCGCGGCGGGAGGTATTATTGATGTGTAGCAAATGCGAGGTTTTTGATGCGGGACCAGGCATGAGCGAGCCATCCTGGCCGAAAGCAGCGGTTGCGTCGCTTTCCTTGGCTCCGAACGTCTTTCGCTGCAAATGATCTAAAACGCGCTTTTGGAGGCTGCAAAAGTACATTTTGGAGGTCCCTCCAGAGTTGGTGCGCGGCGGGAGGTATTATTGATGTGTAGCAAACGCGAGGTTTCGGCTACTAGCCAGGCCAAGCAGAGCTTCTTGATGCGGGACCAGGCATGAGCGAGCCATCCTGGCCGAAAGCAGCGGTTGCGTCGCTTTCCTTGGCTCCGAACGTCTTTCGCTGCAAATGATCTAAAACGCGCTTTTGGAGGCTGCAAAAGTACATTTTGGAGGTCCCTCCAGAGTTGGTGCGCGGCGGGAGGTATTATTGATGTGTAGCAAACGCGAGGTTTCGGCTACTAGCCAGGCCAAGCAGAGCTTCTTGATGCGGGACCAGGCATGAGCGAGCCATCCTGGCCGAAAGCAGCGGTTGCGTCGCTTTCCTTGGCTCCGAACGTCTTTCGCTGCAAATGATCTAAAACGCGCTTTTGGAGGCTGCAAAAGTACATTTTGGAGGTCCCCCAAGAGTTGGTGCGCTGCGGGAGGTATTATTGATTATTGATGCGTGGCCAACGCGAGGTTTCGGCTACTAGCCAGGCCAAGCAGAGCTTCTTGATGCGGGTCCATGCACGAGCGAGCTATCCGGGGCGAAAGGCAGCAGCCTTTACGTTGAGTTCAGGCTTTAGCGGAAGTCCTCGTGGTGTTTCAGTTTGAGGTTTCGACGAGGCTTCTAGGGCAGACTAAGGTCCATTTGCTTGGATCAAAAGCGTCTAATGTTGCCGTGCCAACAAGCAGCCCCACTTCCCGGCTGTCGTCTTCCGCGGGAGTTTCGCTTCTCGTCGCTCGTCGGGGGCCTCAGCGGGTCACGAGGGTCGAAAGTTTCAGTGGAGTATTCTTGCTGGGTTGCAGTCGATTGCCAGCCGGTTGCTTGGGGAGGTTTCTTCAGGAGTAACATAGCAGTCGTCCGTTCCAGGTCGCTTTGAACAGAGTGAAGGTGTTCAAAGCAGAGAGCGAGGACGCCGTTGCTGGATGTTTGTCATGGGCATGTTTCCGCGTTTCATAAGGATGCAGGCAGAAACAAGCAGTCGAGCATCGGAAGTTTCAATGAGCAGCTTCGCGAGGTTGCAGCTTTGAGAAGGAGGGCAGGAAGGTCGATAAAGCTTGCAAGGCCGGGCTCTTGCACGACTCATCCGCTCTGAGGGTTCTCTCGCTGTTTGCAGTCGCTTGAAGCGCGGATCGCCTTTCGGTTCGAGACTGTTTTTGTGCGGTGCGGCCATGGCTTCGGAATCTCGACCTTTGACCTTGACAATCGGGGCAGCTCCAAAGGCAGAGATGAAGCTCGATCCGGTTTCGGGGCGGCCATGTCTTTGCATGAGCGTCAACCTGCAGATGAAGCTTGACATATCCGATTTGATTCAGCTTCTTCTTCATTTTGCGGCCGAGTCGAAAGCAGCCGAAGCTGAGAAGCCTCGGGGCTCGGATTCGAAAAAATCAGGGTCGGTCGAGGGCCGATCTGAGCAGGAGTCCACTCCCAGGCGCAAGAATTGGACTTGGGAAGAACCCATGTATGCGCTGGAGCCATGGATTGTAGAGTATGCCCAGAAGCCCGATGTGTGCTGACGCAAGGAAGAGTTGGTTTCTGCGGGTCAACGTTTCTTTGTAGTTGACGACGACAAGCAAAGGCAAGCTTTCAGGGAGACGACATTCGAGCCATTGCCGGTTCCCGAGAGAACTCGTATGACCTACGCTAACTTCAAAGAAGCGGAATCAATGCGGCAGTCGGTAGGCCGGATCCCCGCGTCCGCTTCTGCGAGCTTACTGCAGTCGGTGCAGTCGAATATCTCGTCTCCATCTGCAAGGATCCACGCCAAGGCCAAAGCTCCAGTTAGAAGGTCGCGACACGAGGCTCATCGAAGCGTTCCTTTGTCTGATGATGATCCAGGCAGGATGTATCCGGCTCAGGATTGCAAGTCTCAATGAGTACGAGTACGTCGTCCGCCAACTTGGCAGGTGCACTTTCCTATGGTTTTTACAATGGATTCGACACCCGTCTTTGCACAAGTCATGCGGCAAGTCTTTGCGCAAAGTGATGGAAATTTATTGGCGCAAGTCACGCGGATGCCCAGCAAGGCTCGCAATACAAATGGATTCAAGCCTTCGAGCTGGAGGAACACTTTCAGGTGAAGCATCTGGAAAGCAAAAAGAGCCGTCGCCTTGGTATCCGCAGTGACGGCACCGCTCATTCAAGTGATGCCACACGGTGCTTTTGCCGTTTAGTGTCGGAGCCGTGGTGTTCCCCGGCTCCGAGGAACCATTGCCTTGCGCTTGCATCCGGACAAAGTGGATGATGAAGTGGCAAAATACTGCGGCGGCCATGATCGGGTGAAGCAGGCATATCACTTCATGGACGAGGCCGCTTGAATGATCCCCGATGTTTGTTTTTCAAACCATGACGTGCCCCAAAGCTCAGGCTTGGAAGAGCGCAATAGAGCAAACTTTTTGTATGGATCCCTTGCTCACCCAAAACAGAAAATCCAAAGCTCCAAGCTTCCTCAAGGCTTACAAAGCCGCAAAACAGTGGCTGGACGAGAAAGAGCACAATCGCCTCCCGCCGTGGGAGAGGTGGGACAAGCAAGCCGAGTACTCGTGATCAAGCTTGTGTCGAAACGATCGTGTCGAATCCTTTCAGGCCACCGTGGTTTTCTTCAAGGCAAGCTGCTCCAAAGGCACCGGCACCGCCGTCGTTTCCCAAGGCCAGATGCAGGGCTCAGGCTCATCTTTGTCTCTTTGAAGCCCGAAGCCCCAACTCTCTGAGCCCTCAGGGCCCTGCCACAAGCAACTGGATTGCAGTGGGAAGTTTTGGGCAGGCTTTTGCATCTGACAGCCTGGTTGTTTCGATTGCTGAGGTTGCTTCAGCAAAGGATTCCGTTAGAAGCCCTTCGAGCGAACCAGACTCCTCTGAACGTGGACGAAATTCAGAATCTGAGTGTGGGAAGCCCTTGTACAAAGCTGCTTCTTAGCCGCCCTTTACAGGTGAGCTGCTTGCATTGCTGCAGGACCGTCGCAAGGTCGAAAAAGTGGTGGTTTGTTTTATATCGAAGCAAAGGAAGGAGGCCGAAGCTTTGAAGTTCAACAGAGCGCTCATCGACCCTGCTGTGCAAGCGGCAAAGCCGAAGAGCGCTGCTTTGAGTGGAGACTGGCGGGATGTCGGAAGAGGGCGCAGGAGGAAGGAGATCGGGCTTACCCGTCGGATTGTCTTCTACGGACCCATCCTCCAGCCATCGGAAAACAGGGCTGAACTCGCTTAAGGAACATGTATAGAAGAGCCCCACACACAGGCTTCTCAAGAGCGCCTGCTTATGAGAACCGTCGGACCGTGTGAGGATCGCACAAGTGTATCATTGCAGGAGGGTCCGCGGGGAAGCAGATTCCGTCAAAAGCTTGGCGAGGGAAGGATGCCAAAAGGCTTCCCCAGCGCTGAGCCCGTCAGATGGCTTTTCGCTTCACATGCGTCGCACTTTGCCGCTGGCATGGTTGCCATTGTGCTTCTTGCAGGTCCATAGGAAGTACAGATTCAATTGGGTAGCTCCACATGTCAACAATGGCCGTATCCTGAAGCAAGAGGATGAACAAGCGACGCAAAGTGTAATTCAGCTCGTTTCACGCGTGAGACTTTGTAGGGACGGTGAGGCAAAATCTGTAATGCGGATCGGGTTTTAAGCTCCAAACGTGTCGAACGCATAGTATGGCACTGAGTTCCGTGTTTCATCGTATCCGGAGGCAAGACAGCCTCCACGTCAGTAGGCAAGATGTTTACACAACCGCAGCCTAGAAGCGGGTTGCGAGCGACTGCTCGGGACTTGCTCAATTGAGGATTAAGAGTAGCCTGGAGTTCCAGATTAGGTTCATGGCGCGACCTACGGTTTCGGATTGAGATTGGAGGGTGTAGGAGTTGGCTCTCGGTTCTGAGCATCTCGCTTTCAGATTACTGGGACATCAGTTTCCCTTTCCATGGCGCCGTATGGAGCATGAGCGGGAGATCGCGCTGCGACCAAAGACGCGATGCTCCGATGAGTATGGGAGTGCGCGCTGCACTCCAAACAGCCAACCTCGACTGGACAGCAAGGCTTGGGAGGCTTTTTAGCGGGCCGGCTTTTATTGGTTTCGCAGTTGCTGACGGGCTTGGTAGAAGGCAATTCCTGCCAAGCTCGGCTGAAGAGGCTGACGGTCGAAAAATCAAAATCCTGTTTCAGCCTGAGAAGACAGTACTGTTTACATTGACATGTACATTAGATATATATATATGTATGTATGTATGTATGTATATATATATATATGTAATATTTGTTATTTGTTGTTTATACTGTTGTTATCTATTGTTATTGTTATTATTACCACACTCACTCACTATTTTGTTATCATTACTCTTGTGTTATTATCGTTGTCGTTGTTGTTATTGCTTTGTATATGATCATCATCACATGGGCCCTTCAGCCCCGGTCTGAAAGACAGAGAAAGCTGCTGAATTTGGCAGGTCCGAGATGGTGGAAGGACCTTGCGGCCCGAGCCCAAACATGCGATTGAAAGCAGCTCTCTGGGATTTTCCGAGAATTAGGGGTACCTCATCTTGGGGTCCCTAAAATCAGGATCCTACTATTTGGGGTTCTAAAACCAGGGTCTCCTACTTTCGGAAGCCCCCCTCGACTTGCATTAGAGGTTGACTGACAAGCGCCCGAGGTTGGGAACTACTGACCTTTGAGCTCAACGAGGGCCGGACCGCCTGTGTCCTGCAAGGCCGGCACGTTTTCAGGCGAGTTGCGGCGGCGTGCAAAATGAGTCATGGCTGTGACGAATCGCCAAACTCTTTGTGACGTTCTGCAGCCTTGAGTGACGATCTGCTGCATCCACACATGACAAGCCAGCCACAGCTCATTCACAGCTGGTAACCGGAATGTCGAGGGAAGCAGCAATACTTGTAGGGTCATTGCGGATTCTGCCGCTGGCTATGCGTACTCATCCAGCGACCATGTCCTGCCATTGTGTGATAGCTCGAGAGGCCAGCAAGGTTCACAGAATCTCCACTCCGAAGCTGCCCCATGAGTAACCTGAACCCACATCTTAAGCTTATGCAGGCTTAGAGGCTAAGAGGAGTCCGGAAAGCCTTGGCCAGGCACCGGGACGGGAAGTGGCTCTCTTTCGACCGCAGCTGCCCTCACGCCGGCATCGATCTCCTCGGTGGAGATGTGGAGGAGCTGCTGGGCCAGGGGCAATTTCCGCCCCTCGCTATTTTGGAGTAGCATCTGCTCAATAGCAGCTTCCAGGATCTATCCGAGCTCGGAGCAGGGGTGTGGCTGGCATCGCTTGCGAGACGCACATTCGGTTCTTCGAGCTTCCTTAGAGTACCATCAACCATCCAGGTGGTGGTGGCGTGCCCAGCTCACACCTACCTCTTCGATCCGATCGTTGGCACTTGCCTTTGGGACCCAGTTTGATGTGACCATGCACTCTAACAATTAGCACGAAAGCGAGACTGCAAGCGAAGGATGCTTCACGGGGTCTCCCTGAGACCCCGCCGCTACAAACCTACGAGGCAAGAGAATCGCACCACCTGCTAGGGCCTACTTAAAGGATCATAGGACTTAGTAACTAAAAATATTATTGAGGTAACTATACTTATAACTACTTATAAGCCCAATTAAAGTACAAGTACTTGTAACCTTACTTACTAAGTCCCATGATCCTCCAAATAGTGTGTACGCTCCGAGTGACATGTGCCGGTAGCTTGGTCAGGTCAGAGAGGACCGTGGCAGCATCTTCGTGCCCTTGCTCCTTGCAAAGCGCCATTTTCCATGTAGTTATTGCTGGCAGACCGGTGCTCACGCGACCAAGCGAGCTCTGCAGCTTTCCGTCATGCCATTGATACAGAGGGCGTGGCTAAGGGCTGACGTGCTTGTGGTTTCGGGCTTCAAAGTCCAGGAGTTTTGGCCCTCTTGGCATGAGGTACGGCCACGGCCAGTGCCTGCAGCTCCCTCAAAAGATGAGTGGGACCAGGCTCATCCTGCAACCCCGGAACTGTCCAGAGTAGGAGCTCCCCACATCTCCTTGTGGCTTAGCCGGCGTAGCAGAAACCGCATAAAGGCCCCGAAGTTCTGGCAGGCACGAGCTGATCAGCTGCAGCTGGCAGCGGTGGACAAAGCGCAGCCCGGCTCAGCTTTCAGGGCCAACCTGGGGACCTAGTCACCTGGAGTGGGGAAGAGCGGCTCAGGTTAGCCAGGAAGTTCCCGGACTGATGACCGCCGTACTCCGTGCGCTGCGACCTCTGACGTGGCCGGTCGTTAGCACGTGGAGACCGACCTGAAGTGCCTAAAGAGCTCTCTGCGCTCTCTGTGGCCGAATCCCAACTGGGTTACGGCGAAGATCTGCCCACTCGTTGCCAAGCTCTGCATCAACGAAGGCTCCGATGTCCACCGTCTGCAAGTGTCGAGAAGAGCATTAAGCAGCAGCGGCAAGGGACTTTGGTGCTGCGAGAGGCACTGTTCGGGAAAAAGGCATGATGTCGCTGCTTCTTCGATGCCCTGTGTGAAGATCGTGTACGTCATGATTCGCCGTTCCTCCCTTTTCTGTGACCTTCTGCACACTGCCAGTCTAGGCTGTACAGGCCGGGCCTTTTATTTGAGAAGACTGGATCTGCTGTATGCTGACCCGCTGTCCAAGTCCATCTTCAGCCGAGTTTGCCGCATGAGTTTGCCACCGGATCAATGGCTTTTGCATGCAGCACTACCTCGCTTCGGAAGCTTTCCGATCTTATACCCCAAAGTCGTTTCTATACATACCTACTCTTACGCACAATCACATAGACTTACATACACTTACATACACTTACACACGCTTGCAGCATATTCTTACATATGCTGACATACACTTACATGAGCTTACATACACTTCTGTACATTTACACACATACATACACTTACATACACACACACACACATTTGAGTTTGGCCACGGGCTTGTCCGTTTCTGCGCCCGTGTGTGGCTCGGATGGCACTTGCTTCTCTCGTCAGATCGCATTTGATTGAAGGAGGCTAGCTTTGGCTAGAGTTGCAGTTTGGCTCCTGACCTAAAAGGTTTTTTCAAGTAGTACTAGTTCACGGTGCTCGTCTAGATGGCCGACGCATATGTCGAGGTTTGCTCTTTGCGAGACGGAGGGGGATAGGGTTAAGCTTGATGGACTGGCATGCCTAAGATAGATGATGTCTTCTGTATCTAGTGAAAGCGAAAGCCATGAGCTGCGGTGTGCAAGTCAGCAAGACCCTGGCTAATGCGAGTGGTCTCTGCGAGTATGTTCTGCACCCTGAGGAAATGGTCGCCCGGTCCCATGAGAAGGCGACGTTTCCAGTAGCAAGCTTGCTGTAAAAGGGCATGGACACACTGCCGCTTCTAGAAACGTGCACCGCGCTACTGCTCTTAGTTAGGAAAGCTAGCAATGACCAGCCCCTTTGATCCCTAGCACTGGCCTGGGGCGTCCGCAGGCCAAAGAATCTGAGCCTGACAGCCGCCTTCTCATCGAGCTGGGCCTTAAGGGGAGGGCAGAGCTCAAAAAGGCTTCCAACAAATTCAAGCCTGGGTCAACAATGCTAGTGCGACGTAAGCGCTGATGAGCTGCAAGGCCGCGGCGGCAGAGCTACCAAAGCGATTCTTGAGTATCTGCAGTTTGCAGTTGTTGTGACTTGTTTCCCTTGGCTGACAAACTTCCTGATCATAGTTCGTCGAGCTCGCCAAGCCTTGAGTGACTGACCAGAATGCCAATTCCCATGCGGCGCTGTGAGGGGGTGTCTCTTTGGTCTCATCCTCCTCCCCTGTGCGTCCTGCACGTCGTCGTTGTCCTCGTCCAGCACACTGCTCGTATCCTTGGCTTGCACTGAGGCGAGTATTGCTCCCTCCTGGCACGACACTTTCCCGGGCCGTGTCAACAGGGCCGTGCACTAAGACGCCCGAGCTGCAGGGTGAGGTGTCTCTGGGGAACGCCTTTGAGGCAGACATGACATGCGCGAAAGTGTTCATCAAAGCTCTGCGCAACAATGCCTTGGTTGGGCTGGAGCATGGAACCCTGGCAGCGATTGCCGCCGGGCCGGGAAAAGTCAACGATCGCTTCTCAGGCTTTTCTTCCTGATGCTGTACTGTTTCGCCTGGCCCTTGGATGCTTCGCCATGAAATCTGCGTTCCAGTGGTGGAGTCCCATGTGGTTGGAAGCGATCCTGTGGACCTGCCGTCGCACAACTGTCATCTGTCGAGTGGTATTATCATGCTGACTTCCATGTAGCATGGAGGATCATCTCAGCGTCAGTGCAACAGAAGGGCGCATTGTTTTTGTGCAGGTGCATGTCGCATGCCTACACCTACACCTTGCATTTGGTTTGCCTGGAAAGGTTTGGACCAGCTGGTTTCTTGCGAGCGGCTGAGACTTTTCTCTGCACCAGTACGGTCTGCAGTTTGCAAATGGTATGTGACAAGAGATGCAACAACAAATGGGGGTTGACCCCTAACCTGGCCTGCCTTATGCTGCCTTGTCGAATTGGATTATAAACGATTTTGAGACAAGCGAAGAAGTCGGCTGACAAGAGCAGGACTGGCAGCACGAGTGGTACTTGCGAGCTGTGGCAGTAGTAGTCGTTGCACTACTGGTGGTTGTGGTGGTGGTGGTGGTGGTGGAGGTGGCGGTGGTGATAGAGTTTGCAGTCGCAGTTGCAGTTGCAGTCGCACTCGCAGTCGTGGTCGTGGTCGTAATGGAGTCGTCGTCGCCGCAGTCGTGGCCGTGGTCTCCATGGTAGCCGATCTAGCCGCCGTCGTCGCAGTCGTGGACTTTCTTACAGCTTTAGCGCAAGGGACGGGCTCTTTTTTTGTCTTTTCAGATTTCTTAAGTGTCTCGCATAGTCGCAGGGGTGTGCCTGGCAATGGCATGAACGAGTTTCACACCATGCATCGTCCTCGAACCATGGTAGTCCTACAGCGACTGCATGAGTTGCAGTGTGCATTCTGCCAGGGTAAGATCGAAGTCCCACGACACCGGGCACAGAAGCAGCAGAAGTCGCTTCGATGCGACCCTCGGTAAGCTCTGCCGAAGTAAAGCAAATAACCAAGCGTGGTGGGCTCTAAACCCTTAGCCCGGAAGCCTCGACCCTAAACCTTGAACTCCCCGAGCGCCAGACCCCGAGGCATCTGGTGCAGACCCGTGTGCATCGGAGAGGAGGGCAGCGGACGCCTTTGCGGTGGACGCCTTGGAGCCATTTTTTATGTTACGCTATAGCTCATATTTATAGCATACTCCATTTTAGTATATCATCGGCTATTAAAGAATAGAACACAAAATAATACTGCATGATAGCATGCTATAATGAATCTGTACTAAAGGGCATTGCTGGAGCTGTAAACTCCCGACCCGCCGCTTCAGCCCTGAGGGCGAAGACACACGTGGAATTTCCAGCTTCTGAAGTTTCCCAGGCCCGAGTAACTGACCACTTTGATCCTTAGTCGCCCTTGCTTTTGCATCGAATCGTTGCGGCCTAAGCTCCTCAGGCGGAGGTCTTGAGACTTAAGGAGGAGCTGGCTGCTCGCCAAGGAGTGCGGAGAGCAGACATGACCCATGTTAGCATACTGCGATGGGCAAAAGCAGTAAAATGCACAACTTCATGCTTTACTTAAACTGCTGTGAAGGAGCTCTGGACTCTGCCGGCCACCTGTGAAGGAAAAAAGAGAGCATCAACAACCACGATCTGGCTTCTGCTCAACGATGTTTTACACATGTTATGAAAGGAAAAGTGGACTCTTATCTTTCTTTCACCAGAGTCTTATTCGACCCAACCGAATACAAGGGCTTCGCCAGAACCATTCGTATCTGACAGTTGGGATCGTATACTGTTGTTGAAAGCTCCTGCTCCAAAAGTTTACAGAAAATGTGTATTCACGAATTTTTTCCAACTTGTTGAAGCCACAATCTCAATTAAATGCTCCCCAAATTTCCAGGATATTTTGGGGAGGGTAGCCCAAAATTTCGTGAGAATTCTGGACGGAAAATCGCACGGAAACGACTCCTGCCACCAAAATTTCCTAGAAATTTTGGGGCAGGAGATGTGGGTGAGTAGAACGTCCTCCTGCCCCGAAACTAACGGAAAATGTTGGGGCTGCCAGGGCGAGGCGGGCTCAAAAAGGTAAGACGAGCTCTACCAATGGCATTTTAGTTTATAGAGCGCAAGATGCTATGATAGATCTCCAATATTGGATGTATCTTTATCGAACCACCTTCCGTTCGGTCGTGCGATTATTTCGGTGGAATTGAATTATATGATTGCAATTGATAACGATGAAATTTTATTATGAAGATATCTTTTGAATAAATAAATTTGAAT